GAGATACCATGGCACTCTAGGGAGCTGGAACATGAAACTGATGTAAGACAAAGGCCCCACATTTGAGAGCCAGTGTTCTGTAGTGGTCAAGGGGTTGGACTAGCACTCAGGAGATCCAGGTTCTAGTCCCCACTTGGCACAGAAGCTCCCTCGAAGACTTTGAGCCAGTCTCTCTCTCAGCCCAAGAGTCAATGTGGGCTAGTGGTTATAGTATTAGACTGGCACTAGGAAGACCCAGGTTCTAGTCCCCTCTCAGCCATGGAAACTTTGGGCAAGCCACTCTCTCAACTAAACTGGAATTAAACTCCTATTTCCTAGTCCATATTCTGTAAAGATGGAATGGAATGGAATGGAATGGAATGGAACAGAAGGGATAGGTCAGTAGGGGAAAGTGTAATTCTGGGAATTGGACAAGCTGTAGCCTACCTGGAAGATTTCTGATCATCTAGGCCAATACTATACCTTCTGTTTAGGACATTTCTTCAAGGTTTGGGCAGAAAGGAAGTTCTCCCCATCCTAAGTATAAACATCTATAAACTGGTAGCCTACCTGGAATATTTGGAAGATCTGTCATAGCACACTCCCCAAATGCTTGCTGAGAGGCCTTGCCCATTCACCAAATGTTGACGTGATGGACCTGACCAGTTTAAAAAGGTTTACCAAACCATTGCCCACATTTATCTCCTGTGGTAGCACCTTTGACCTATTCATCAGTTTGGTGCAGCGTATTAAGATCTCTGGTTCAGCTGCTTGGTCTCATTTTACTCACCATATGCAGTGATGGCTATCACTCCCACAATGAGAACCCACACCAGGATTCCAGCAATGAACCTCAGCAGCAGGAGGAATAGGAGACTCAGCACCATGGCAAGCAGGAGACCTCTGGAAAGAGAATAACATAAAAGAGAAAGGATGGGGTAGAGTGAGTTTCTTCTCCACTTGTTTTGCTTCTAAACTCAAATCTCTCTGTCCAGGCCCTCCTTTCACTATTCCTGAGCAGTAGGATAAACCCAAAACAATACTGGAGGATATTCTGAATTATTTCCTGGTGGGGCTATGCACATTCCAACCCCCACTTGACCGACAAACTCAGACCCAATCTTCTTGCCTTAAAGGAATGAGAAACAAAGAAAAGCTTTGCTAAGTCAAGCCAAGGAGCTATCTAGTCCAGCATTTGGTGGTGGTCAGCTGGTGGCCAGCAGGCTGTAGCAGGAAGCATGGACAGGATGGCAAGAGCGACTTCTATTGTTGCTCCCTACCAATTCGTGCT